TCTTTGCTTGTAACAGTAATGGAACAAAATCCACTCCATATCCCCAACACACCCCTTTGCCCAAATATATCCTTCAAATATTCTGGTAAAGGGTTTTTGGACATTATTAAGGAGTGTCAAAGAGAAGGGGAAGAAAAAAAAGTTTTCAGGTCTGCATTTTAAGAAAAAAAGTCACCCAAAGTACATGTTTGTGATTTTAATGGAACAGCATGGGAAAAAGTTGAAGAGCTATTAATATTTCTGCAAGGCACTACAAAGTGTAGCGATACACTCATGTGAGGCACATGAACATATCTAAAAGACTGAACTGGCAGTTGTTTCTGTGTGATGGGGTTCATGTAGGCTTCCATTCACAGAGGTAATGACCAGGCGGGAGTGGATCCCTTTGCATCTGTGTGAGCGTTTGCCCTAATAACCCACAACATAGATGAGTAACACTGAGAGTGGCGTGCGTGCTTCTATTTCTCAAAGTGATCAAGAGATGAGGTAAAGGATGAGTGAAGCAGGAGGAAGAATCATGAAGGAAACGTGTCCAGACCATTTAAGGATACAGACATTGTGGTTTTAGTGCAAAGAAAGAACCTGATAATTCATTTTCAGTGGATTGCTGTGGGGATATGGTTGGTGGTGTGCATTTCTACCTGCAGGTTTCTGGGACCTGAAATTTTTTTTATGCATGTTTATTTCTCCTGGGGGGAAAAATTAGGTCCGCGTACAAAGCAACAATCTCAAAAGCAAAACCGATGGGTAGAGCAACATTGCCAAAGCTTCCACCAACCGCCCACCACAGTCCTGAAATGGCTTCATTTTTTTAGTCCCATCTCATAGCTATCCCCGTAAACTTCAGGTAGCACTTTGTCATGTCACCTGACCACCAATAACCTGCTGTCAGTTCAGGTTCTGAAGTAAAGACTGTCCTCAGAGTGACTCTTGGTCCCACGTGGTCAGTTAGAAAATAAAAAGGTGGTGAAAATGAGTCTGCCATTACAGATCAGTCTTGATCCCTGTAACGAGGGGACTCATGGTAGAGTTGGTGGGACAGAACACTCAGTCAATCACTGCCGCTTTTCCAGGTTTACAACACTGATGTAGTGGAGCGCATATATATATATATAAATAAATAAATATATATATATATATATATATATATATATATATATATATAGGGTTAGGGTTATTATTCATGTGAGTAGCTGTGTGCAGGATGTGCCCGCGGTGCATTCTGAGGGGCAGCTCCAGGGAGATGAGAGGTGAGGTAGAGTCTGTTGGTTTCAGGCAGTTAACGGGCAGAGGGGGAAAGGTAGAGAGTGAGCACGATTCCGGACTTCCCACCTACCAGGATGTGCCCTGTGTGCCTATCACAAGACAGTGTAGGATGAGGTTAAAGGAGGAGCTGCTAGAGCAAAGGGACATGGGCTCAAAGGGACCACACTTATGCGGCTAGTTTGTGCATAACTGAAAGTTATTGAAAAGATTTTTAAAAACTGAATGTGTGCTTGTGAGGTAACGAAGAAGGAGGTATGTTATGGGTGAGGTATTCTACCTACTTAAACATACTGTGTACGTTAAGACCCAGTCTGGGCTGTAAAGAGTATATGTTTTTTAGACATTATGAATAAAAACAAGCTTTCTGTAAACATACTTACACAGATAATAAGTTAAGAGAGACGAAATTAGAGTTTGAAAACAACGGAACAACTTTGCTTTAGGAGGGAGGACTTGCAAGCTAACAACTTTCCTATCGTCTATGATTTGATCTCATCTTATTCCAGGTGGGATACAAGGTCCATTAGTGTGTCTTTGTCTAAAAGAAGAAACGTATGTTTGCTGCAAAGTATTTGATTCATTTGACCTCTAAGACCAGGGTTCCTTCCTTTAGATCTGGTTTCCTGCACCTGTTAGATGCATTTCTGCTTTAACACAGTCAAATATTCAGAATCAGCACAACTTTGGAGAACTTGACTGCATTCTGAGGACGTCATTTGATTCAGGTGTGTAAGCAAAGACAAATCGAAGACCTTCAGAACATCTGACCTCGATGACTGATGTTTGAGGAATATTCTAAATTACTGATTCCCAACGTTGGAGTGTGACCCCACTGGAGGTCCTTGATCAAGCAGTGCGGACCACAGAAATAAGAATAAAAAAGGGCTTAAAGTTATAAAAGCATAATTTAAAATGAACTACTTTGCTTGTTAATGCTGTGTGTAATCTTATTCACTCATGGTTTAGTGGTTTTCTTTGAACGGTTTTTATTTTCAAGCAACAGTTTGGTTCATGAGTCGACCTTGGAACAATTTAGTGGGTCATTCCAAAAAAAGTTAAAAACAATTCACTGGACTTTTGTTTCCAAGTTTGAAGACGTTTTGCTTCCCATCCAGGAAGCTTTTTCAATTGGAAAAGCTTACACAGCTAAAGTCAGAAGTTGAAAAGATTCTGAACCTCTAATTCCCACAGATTTAGGGACATATTTTTTTTTTGGATTACTTTCTGATTGCTCTTTAGATCAGCCCTTTAAAATCACAGCCAGAGAGAAATGCAATATATATACATATACCCCAAATATATATATATATATATATATATATATATATATATATATATATATATATATATATATATATATATATTTGGAGTTCTTCATCACTAAAATGTGGCTTTTCTTATTTCGCCGTAATTATATACTTTTAAAAAAATCAAACTGACAGACTATACGAAAGACAGACAGGGTGGCAGCTTGAAACAGATTCTCCAATGGCATTTTAAACTGAAAATACTTTGATGGACAGTAAAATTGGTCAGGCAATATAGTTAGACCCCAAAATCGCAATCTAGCTAGCATTGTGTAATCGATGTTAGCAATCAGAAGACAATCTTTTGTTCTATGCTCTGTCCAAATAACAATTCAAACTTCTACAAAAATCTTCATTTTTTAAAATCTCAACGCAAAGAAAAAAAAATACAAAAAATTAGCTTTTAAGCATCATGCTAAAGGCGACGCAAACCAACAGTGTCAAAAAAGTGTTTTTTTTCCTGAGAGTTATTCTACAGGGCAGAAAAAGTTTTCCAATAAAACAAACAAAAATATCTCTACATGCTGAAACTGGTATTTGACTTTTTTGTTTGTGTGTGATAAATTGCATTTTGGTTCAGAAAATGCTTTCTGTATGTTTCTAACGGTATTTTTAGCCACCTGCTGGTAAGAGTGGACAACTGGCAAAACCCCAAAGATTAACTTGAGCGTCTCCAATGTCTGAAGGACTTGACTCGCTCAATTACCAAGTCCCTACCGAAACCCTTGGCAATTACCAAGAGTTTCGGTAGGAGGGCAAATCTTAGCCTAGCAGCTAGTTACTTATATGTAGTCAAATACTAAAATACACTTTCGGCTAGTCAGCAAAATACAAAACAAACTGACATTAAAAGTGGCTCATCTTATCAATGCCTCTAAAAATAACAAACATTTCCAAACAATATGACCAACATTATCTACTTTCTGATATATTTTTTCTTTTACAACCAACTTCAGCCACTTCATAGCGAGGTACCTAATCTCAGTTCATCCAGAGAAAAGAGACTCAAATGTTTATTAAGAAAGCAAACAACCAAAATATGACAAACTTCTATAGAGATTTCCTGCTTGTTCGTTTAAAATCATCTTTCAAACCATGGACTAAATTGTACAACTATCTTTACAGCAACTTTGTAGCCAAGTGGTGAACTTTGTAGCCAAGTGGGGAACTTTGTAGCCAAGTGGTGAACTTTGAAGCCAAGTGGTTTGTATGAAGAAAAAAAAGGGAAGAAAAAGGACTGTAAGCAGCTGTTGGTTATAGCCTAAACAGGCATGGGTGTACATCACTTTTTCAAACAGGCTAAAAACAATTTTAAAAATGTTCTCTGAGTACTGAAGTTTGTTTCACAGTTAGGCAAAAGTTAACTATTAAATGAAAGATATTGCTAATTTATTTTCCTTTGTTAACACATGCGAAGTTAACTTTATGGAACTGGATTTATGCATTTATAAACTAACAAATCGTAAAAGAAAATAATCTGATTTGTTTAGAAATCTTTTTTTTTTTTACTTTTTTATGCGAAAATGTAAACTAATCAGTTGGCAGCTGAACGCATTACATGGTTTCAAATACAGCAACAGCAGATCACCAAGAAATTTGTCTACAGATGTTTTCTTTTTTTGCCTCCTCAATGTTCCCTAATATTTTTTTTTACATTTAAGCAGTTTTATATTTAAGGACACTGACCCAAATCTAAATTCATAATCACGTTTTAGTGCTTACAGGTCGCACTTTGACGTTCACAACATCTGTCAATGATTTAGGAATGCTTCATTGTCCCCTGCTATAAGACTTGTAGTATAAACAATAGCTGTGAATTAGTGTTTCAACATAACTGATTTGTTATCCTAAATCTTCTCTCAGAAGCTGCAAGAAACTATGGATAGCAATAGGTTTTATGGCTCCATATATTGTACCTGAACTAAATCTGCCAGTCCAACAATAGATAAATACATTTGACAAGAAATGAGGTAATAGTTTTGGGGTTGTGTTTAGTGCATGTACATTCTGTGCGTGTGTTTCTCTGTGTGACGGTTTGTGTGACGGAGGTAGGTCAGCAAGAACACTCAGGGCCACAGTAGGGTGAAAAGAGCATAGAAAGAGATGCTAAGAAGTTGGGTGGGAAGTGGGACAGTAAAAGGATTGTCAGATATTGTTGGCTGTCAGGTCCCGGACAAGGAAAAAAAAACAAACTCAAAGACACAAAGACACGCGATAACAGGCATGTTATGCAGTTAGCATAGCCCCTCAGTTTGCATCAGGTGTGGCAACGGTCCAGTCCTCCTATATGCAATTTCGATTTGCATATATATATATATATATATATATATATATATATATATATATATATATATATATATATATATATATATATATATATATATATATATATATATATATATATATATATATATATATATATATGTGGTAAAGTATTTGAAAATGATCCTCTGTAGATGTGTATGTTTACACATTCCAAGATGCAAAGTTGAAAAAGTCTGTGTTTCTGTTACATGATGCTGATGAAAATTTGCTGGTGGCAGAAGGTATTGTCTTCTGTTTGACAACAAATGGGCAAACAAACTAAACAAAATAAAATAAAAGGGCACGTTCTCACAAATGAAAACAAAAATTCCAGTTTCTCCCACGACTTTCACTGATTGCCAATGCTTCCTTAACTGCCAAAATGTGTACTTTCAGCACAGGGTACGAAGTCACACTTCCTGGTCCTCAAAGACTTCCAAGAAGAGTGGCGGGAAGAGTTCGTTTGGACACTCGACCTTCATATGGAGGAAGCGGCTGGCGTGGCAGGCGGCGATCATACGCAGGTCCGTCACCTTCATCAGGAGCTTTGGCCAAAAGTGGGGAATGTTGTGCTTACGGTAGTTGATGTAGTGTTCAAACGCCAGCAGGTAGGCCTCCTGGCACCGCTCAATCTTCTCCACGCTGGTCAGCCCTGACCGATCTTAAGAGCAAAAAAAGATTAATTGAGAGTTCCATGATTCAAAAGAGTTAGCAGTCACTTAAAGCAGTGCTTTCTTTGATATTAATCGAATCTAACCTGAGCTCATGAGCAGCACAGCTTGCATCAGCGCCACTTCCGAGTCATCCAAGTTGAACTGTGCCAGGCTTTTACCCAAATCAAATATAGCGTCCGAAATAACCCCCAGCCCGCCGTTTTTCAGATGTTCACGTTTCACGGCCATCTCACCACTGAGCGTCAGCGTTTCGCTTTCAGGGTCGTAGCGCACGGCGGCACGCAAGGACATGATCTCCATGCAGCACCCCTTCAGCAGGATAATCTGGTCTTCACAAGGCAGCTGGAAAACAGGTGGGAATTCAGTTATTATATTTCAAGTTAAACAGTTACACACAGTTCCAGGAAAGATTATTAACACAAACTTTACATGTTTGATTAAAATTCAAGCAAGAGAAGTGTACACCACTTTCTAATCTGTCAATCTTTTAGGAATTTTTTTATTTTTACATTTTAAATTCCTAATTCCAATGTCCAGTGGGGAGACTGGAAGAGAGAGCTTTATGTTCAGCCAGTGAACGGGTGTTGTGCCAAAGTAGGTTCCCTGTGGAAATTTATTCCCCCTTCATTCCTAGCAGGGTGACAGGAGCCCCTTTTTTTTTTCTTACCCTTTCTTCAGTTCACATCATGTTTTATTAATTATCTTTTTTTTTTTATTTACATGTTCGTGATACATTAAAAAGCGCTTCAATCTCGATCTCCCAGACTTATAAGCAATTTCAGGCGTAATTTTATTCACTGTTTTTCTTATTTAATCTGAGATCTGTTTTATAAGATGAAATAATCAAAATGAGTACCACATCTCATTTTTCTTCTGTCTACAAAATTAAAACATCACTTCTTCTGCATTTTTTACACTGGAACTTAGGTGCAGCAAACAATGCTCAGGATATAAATTCTTTAGTGATAAAATCCTTAACACAACAGCTGTCACACTGCTTTTACTCCAGCTCCAATGCTCAGCTTAGAACCGCAGTCATAATCAGGTAAATGAAATAATTGCATTGTCTTATATAGCATAAGTACATCAGACACTGGATATTTGTAAACATGTTTTAACGAGGTTTTCAAAAAGGAAGCTTCATGTGAAAGTGTAACCCTGTGAAAAGAACAATTCATAAAATGTATGTTGGTTTGACGTTTGTATTGTCTTGGTATAGTTACTGGTCTAAAATAACAATTTGATGATATATAGTGTCGTTTACACAACGTTAAATGTTCAACGGATTATATAAAGACATACCAAACTTTTTAAAGTGACCAAAAGTATTTGAACACATGTATAGATTTCCTTTCCTTTTAACAAGACTATACGTATGGAGGGACAGTCTGATCTGAATTTAACAATAAGGGATTGATCCAATGAGGCATTGTTCAAAGGCCTTGGTTATCACATCTAAACAACCTGTTAGGGTTATTCTTTCTGATGATGTATGAGCCTGTTAAACCCTAATAATACCTGCCTATTGCTTGTCTGAACTAATTACTCTGTCAGGATATAATGTTATCTTCTTTATGCATGTGGCAAAGGTTTGGAAATGGAATGTAAGTGGTGTCCTTGATCTAAAAACAAAGTGTAATATTTTGATAAGCCTGGAGCCATGGATGTCTCCTCATAAACAAACATGTATGAGCTAATGTTACAATGTGGTGCTGGAGTTGTATAAAATGCTTCTTTAACTGTGATTAAGGGCAACTTCAAAGAACTAAAGAGAACTACTAAAGCGCTGCTCTCTCTAATTCTAAGCCATTTTTCTGGCCTGAGTAAGATTACAATTTCTTTCTAAATCTGTTGTCATGTCTCATGGTTATTTAATACATATACACCACCGTTCAAAAGTTTGGGGTCACATTGAAATGTCCTTACTTTTGAAGGAAAAGCACTGTACTTTTCAATGAAGATAACTTTAAACTAGTCTTAACTTTAAAGAAATACACTCTATACATTGTTAATGTGGTAAATGACTATTCTAGCTGCAAATGTCTGGTATCTACATTAATAATAATAATAATACATTTTATTTGTATTGCACTTTACATTTAAAAAAAATCTCAAAGTGCTACAAAATTCATAGTTAAAACAAAACCGTACAATAAAAATAGCATACATAGTTAAAACGAGACATTACAATAAAATAACATACGTAGTAAAAACAAAACAGTAAAACAGTACAACATTGTTGTATAGAGGCCCATTTCCAGCAACTATCACTCCAGTGTTCTAATGGTACAATGTGTTTGCTCATTGGCTCAGAAGGCTAATTGATGATTAGAAAACCCTTGTGCAATCATGTTCACACATCTGAAAACAGTTTAGCTCATTACGGAAGCTAGAAAACTGACTTTCCTTTGAGCAGATTGAGTTTCTGGAGCATCACATTTGTGGGGTCAATTAAACACTCAAAATGGCCAGAAAAAGAGAACTTTCATCTGAAACTCGACAGTCTATTGTTCTTTGAAATGAAGGCTATTCCATGTGAGAAATTGCTAGGAAATTGAAGATTTCCTACAACGGTGTGTACTAATCCCTTCAGAGGACAGCACAAACAGGCTCTAACCAGAGTAGAAAAAGAAGTGGGAGGCCGCGTTGCACAACTAAGCAAGAAGATATGTACATTAGAGTCTCTAGTTTGAGAAACAGACACCTCACAGGTCCCCAACTGGCATCTTCATTAAATAGTACCCGCAAAACACCAGTGTTAACATCTAAAATTAAGTGGCAGCTGCGGGATTCTGGGCATAAGGGCAGAGTGGCAAAGAAAAAGCCATACCTGAGACTGACCAATAAAAGAAAAAGATTAAGATGGGCAAAAGAACACAGACATTGGACAGAGGAAGACTGGAAAAAGTGTTGTGGACGGATTAATCCAAGTTTGAGGTGTTTGGATCACAAAGAAGAACGTTTGTGAGACGCAGAACTAATGAAAAGATGCTGGAAGAATGCCTGACGCCATCTGTTAAGCATGGTGGAGGTAATGTGATGGTCTGAGGTTGCTTTGGTGCTGGTAAGGTGGGAGATTTGTACAGGGTACAAGGGATTCTGAATAAGGAAGGCTATCACTCCATTTTGCAACGCCATGCCATACCCAGTGGACAGCGCTTGATTGGAGCCAATTTCATCCTACAACAGGAGAATGACCCTAAACACAACTCAAAATTGTGCAAGAACTATTTAGAGCAGAAGCAGGCAGCTGGTATTCTATCGGTAATGGAGTGGCCAGCGCAGTCACCAGATCTGAACCCCATTGAGCTGTTGTGGGAGCAGCTTTACCGTATGGTACGCAAGAAGGGCCCATCCAACCAATCCAACTTGTGGGAGCTGCTTCTGGAAGCGTGGGGTGCAATTTCTCCAGATTACCTCAACAAATTAACAGCTAGAATGCCAAAGGTCTGCAATGCTTTAATTGCTGCAAATGGAGGATTCTTTGACGAAAGTTTTATGTAAAAAAAAAAAACTTATTTCAAATAAAAATCATTATTTCTGATCTTGTCAATGTCTTCATTCTATTTTCTATTCATTTCACAACGTATGGTGGTGAATAAGGGTGACTTTTCAGGAAAACACAAAATTGTTTGGGTGACCCCAAACTTATGAACAGTAGTGTACATTATAAAGTTTTATTTAAAGAGTTGAAGAGAAACCTTCAAGGTGTAAACACAGAGCTTTCCTTAACAGACCTTTGAATTATAATCTCCATGTTCACTAAAGTGACAAAAAAGAAAAAGTGTAATCTCCGTGACACACCATCATCAGGAGGTATGTGTTTTGAATAATGACAAAATCCCAAGTGGGGTCGCGAGGGGGGCTGCTTCAGCTGTCTATGGGTGAGAGGCAGGGTCCACCCTGGACAGGTCACCAATCCATGGCAGAGAAACACAGAGACAAACGGGACAAACAACCATTCACACACAAACTCACACCTAAGAAGAATTTAGAGAAGCCAATTAACCTAACAGTCATGTTTTTGGACTGTGGGAGGAGGCTAGAGTAGCTGGAGAGAACCCATGCATGCTCAGGGAGAACATGCAATCTCCATTCAGTGGTAGTGCTACTCACTGCTCCAATGAACAGCCTGTGAACAAGCAATCCCTGCTTATTAAGACATTATTATTCGGTCAAACTGTACATGTGCCCGGGTTTCCCCATACAGTTAGATTTATATTTTTCTTTGCCATTGCAATACACAAGTTGTCCCTTTTTTTCAAAGAACATGTAGGCCATACCTGAAGTGATATGTTTCAATGTGGGATGTAAAAGAGCTCATTTGAAGACATAAAAACCTACATCAAAAAACTGTTCATTAACATTTTTGAGAACAAAATCAAAAATTGTTTTCCTACCAACCTCTGAAAACATGGGCAATTTCTTGGCAAAGTCAACAACGCGGGTGATGGCGGGGGTCATGATCTTCGTGAACTCACTGAAGACCTCAAGGTCCACTTTGTCTCCATCTGAAGTGGGCACCATTGAACCGTGGCCGATGTCGTCTGACTGCAAACAATATGTTACACATTTATCTGAGAGACAGGACCATAGAAGTGAATGACTGAGAATCTTCATCAGCATCTTCCATTTTCCTCTAATTTCTCCCACAGTTGGAATAATCTTGTCCTGTGCTGCTTGGCTATTTTAGATACACCCAAATACTTGTTTATAATCAATTAAAATTCAATTCTTTAAAAATCCTAACCTGTGTGACTTCTTGAAATTTTTCTTTTTATCCTTTCTGTCATAGTTGAAAATGACAGACCTTTCATCCTTCTAATTAGGAGAAGTTCTACAATCAGTGGCTGACTAAACACTCACATCATGATCAGATAATATATTTCACATATGAAGGCAGTTTCTATTTGTAGGAAGCCCTTAACATATTTATTCTTGGATATAAAAAGTTATTGAAGAAATTTGTGACAGTCTTTAACTATATATGAAGGTGATGATACTGGATTATAAAACACGAATTCAAAAGAGGAGAAGACTTTATATTGATAAAAACATGATGATTCAAACTTGCACTCTACTATCTACGAAGATCAGGGTCAGCTCAAAGAGAAATAGCATTGAGTTTGTTTCTCAGGAACATAGTTCTCCGACAGCTTTTCTCTGACATTCCCAACAACACAAAGAGTGTCCTTCTCTTTGTAAACCTTCGAACATAGACGTATTTCAGCTTACAACTGCTTTCACCTTTATAAATGGTTGCTAGGTAACTATCGTTACACCGCTACTATGGCTGCATTTTAAGCTTGAACATAAACTTTACCGCTGTGTTGTAGCTTTTTGAGAGCTGGAACCTGACTGAGTCCACCACTCTGTAACAAAAGCTAGCCCAGACGCCTGAAAAACCTACAATGCATCGATAGAATTGATTTCTTCCCGCTATCATCTCAACCCCCATCACCATGCAGGTGACCGAAATATCTCGCCAGGTTAGCCAAGCCAACAATGACCCTAACGACTCAGTTTTCATAGGCATAGGCCAGTGCGGGGTATTGCAGGCCAACCATGACCTGAACCATTCCCCATTACAAAGGGGTAAAGCTGTTTTTTTTTTTTTTTTTTTCAATTTGCATGTTTTTTAAGCCATAACAAGACTTTATTTTGGCTATTCTATAAAATCCTGGAACTTAACGCTACTCCAGACATTTGGGACAGAAAACGGGTAGAAGTTTTGAAATAAAGATCAGCAACTTCTTCCTTGAAACTTTTCTAAAAAGCTCCTTGGCTTTTTTATTAGGGGGAGTATTTGTCAGTCTTGAAGGAAAGTACTGCCTTCTTAGACTAAGCTCTGCCATTTAACAAAGTGTCAGCTTATTTTTCTTCTCTTTATTAAGATCTGAGGGCAGAGGAGGACAAATGGAACATCTTAAAAAATTACTTTCGTAAAGATTTTAGACAAAACAGTTATTCTACTTGTAGGAAATGAACGGTTGTTGTTGACACAAATTCAAATGTAGTGTAGCTTTATATGGCTAACTGACCGAGCTAAAAGAGGCTAACCTGTTTGCTAGATCTGAAAACCCGAGCAGATCTGGTACCTTCACCGGTCTGCTCCAGGGTGCTCTCCAGCAGCAGCGTTTCTCATACCCTCAGAGCAGAACCTAGACGCTGAGCGCAGTCCCCAATCAAGACACAGGAGGCTGGCCTGCTGACTGTTTGTTGCAACAGTGCTGTAGAGCCTGGGCACTAAGTTGGGTGAGAGTTACAGGTCAAGCGCCCAGGAAGTTAAACTTGTATTGAACCATAATCTTTCTTCTCATTGTTTTGCTGATGAGGTCCAGATCTACTTTCCTTTAGCATCAAAACCCAACAACCCAGTACATTCATTTTCTGGCTGCTTAAATGATGTTAAATCGTGAATGACCTCAAACTTTCTGAAACTGAATGAAAGTAAGACCGAAATTATGTTTGTTTGTAGCCAGCAGTATTCCCTCCCGACTCCTGGGGCCCTCTTACATAGGTGCCCGTCTCCTTACTGGCATACTTAACATGGCCGCATATCACCCGTTCTAGCCTCGTTGCACTGGATTCCGGTTGTTTTTTGAATAGATTTCTAAATTTTATTGTGTGTTTTTAAAACTCTTAATGGTCTAGCCCCCCAGTATTTGACTGAGCTTCTCCAAATCCATGCCCCGGCCAGAACACTGAGCTCCTCCAATCAGTTGCTACTGGTCATGCCTAAAACCAAACTTAAAACCAAAGGTGATCGTGCTTTTATGGTAGCAGCACCAAGACTCTGAAATAACTTGCCTTGGCATATTCGAGCGGCAGCTCCTCTGAGGTTTTTAAATTCTCTCTAAAAGCACACTTCTTCTCCCTGGCTTTTAATCAAGTCTAAGTGGGCATTTGGCAAAATTTTATTTTAAATTTTATTTTATTTTAAAATTATTTTATTTAAATTGAAATGTTTCCTATTATTTTTCTTTTTGCATTGTGTTTATGTATTTTAGCTTTCAGTTTTTATCTTATGCTCTGCAAATGTGATTTCTTTACAGCACTTTGGTCAACACCGGTTGTTTTAAATGTGCTTTATAAATAAAGTTTGAGTTGAGTTAAGCAATTATTACCTTTAAAACAAGATATTTCTCTCTGAGTTATTTTTTGTTCTGCCCTGAAACTCCAGAAACCTTTTCTAGGTCTGTAAAAGTGTATATTTACCAGAAACTTGCGTTTCTGTTTCCAGCTGGAGCCCTGGGCGTTGGTGTGCCGGTGGGCCTCTGTCACCATCCTGATTAGATCCCACTCCGCACTATCTGGCTCCGGCCTCATCTGCAGGGTCCGCACCATCTCTTCCCTCTTCCTCCGCTCTCGGTTCTCTTCGATGAGGCGCCGCTTGGCTACACGCTTGCTGTCATCGAGCACCACTAGTGGGTAGATGGGAGGGGGGTGATTATATAAGATCATGTAAAGATGCAGGCCTGACTTCAAATACTTCTAACACTTATTCCAAAAATCCTCCAGTTTGGGTTCTTTAAAATGTATCTAGAAGGAATCTGACTGGAAGTGTAATTCTATCTACCCAAAAACAAAGATCTCTAATAACACTGACATGTTTAACCTAAAACCCTTGCCTCTAACTACCAGTCGGGGATGACTCACAGTCCATGGCCATGCCCACAGAGATGCACTTCTTGAATCTGCAGAGCTGGCACTGGTTGCGGGTGATCTTATAAATAATGCAGCAGCCTTCATATTTACAGGCATAGGAAGGATGGAGATTTTTCTGGATGGTCCTGCGGAAGAAACCCTTGAAGGAAAGATAAAGAGGAAAGATGGTCAACAACCTATTTTATATTAAGGGCTGTAATCTGTGCTCAGAGATTTTCCAATATGTCATCCCATATTTCATCTTTCTCTTAAAATATGAATTTCTTTGACAAAGGGGAAATAAAATTATCTTTTTATAATTTATCTCAAAACTCTCACCACAGCATTAAAAAAATCCTCCACCTCTTTTTATGTGGTAGCCTATATGGTCTTAGGAATCAGAAATGTTAGAAAAATGAAAATGTCATCATTTTATTTGTGTTAACTTACAGGCATTTGGTCTGCTAAGAATTTTCTGTTGTTTTAACTTCAAACAAGGAGAACAAATGGTTCTTCCAGAAAAAGAAAAGTCATGCACTATCCAGGCGTGTTTGGTTGAAGCTGACTGATCATAACCTGTAATAACACTGAACAAGGAACTGCTTTATCATGTGTAAACCTCTAACCCCTCCTGACAACTTCTGACCCCTCCTGTTACTCCTTTGAAGTCTGAGAATAAAGGCAGGGGACAGAGAGGTCCCAGCAGAGTTGACCACAGACATTTTAGGAAGCGAAAATTCTCCGTCTCTCTTCTCTCCTCTTCTAAAGAAAAGTAACTTTGTTTGTGTTGGTTATTTCTAGGACAATAATTATCATTTAAACCTAACAAGACAGTTGACAGTGACAGACATGATCCATAATTAGCAAATAGATGCTAAAAAATGCTAAGGTGGAACTGTCATAGGTTGCTGCTGGTGCTAAACTAGGACATGATTAGTGGTGGAGTTAAATAGCATGTGTGGAGCCTATTGAACTCTACGTGTCTATCCTGGGTTTAAGCCCCATACATCAGTAATTTAAGCTTAGACACACCTTATTGTCATTTCATATACACAGACTGTATACAAAACGAAATTGCGATGCGTGCAGCTTTCAATAGTGAAATGTAAATTACCATTTATAAAGTGCAGCAGTGATCAAGAATTGTAGGAGAAAAGGAAAACCAATTTAAAGTCATGGTGCAAAAGGCATTGCTGTTGAAACGTTCAGTGCAGTGCAAAAATATAGTGCTAAATACAGTAGAATATTGAGTTATGTTCTTTTTAAAGGGATTATGAAAATATCTGCCACATTGGTTGTGCAAATATGATGTTTTCATATGTGATGCACAGACTTAATTAGAGTTTCAACAGTCCAATGGCAGCGGGGAAGAGGTTGTTGTAGAAGCTGCTGCATCTGTGACATCAAATCCCATAATGCTTTGCAAGGAGAGCTCTCCACACAAAGCATTCTGGGCTTTATCTGCCTCTTCTGAGGCCTTTCTTTTCTTCTCATACACTTCGTAGACACTCTTTCTCTTCGCCATTTTTAAAGAACCGTGGTGAGAAAGGTGAGCTTTAATGACTCTCTGAAACCGTAGTTCACCACAAATATATGCCTGAACATGTGCATGCAGTGTTGCCAACTCCCCTGTGAGAAAAGTAGCTATTGGCTGTGCTGTAAGTCGCTAGCAGTCGCTGAATGACGTCATTGCCTAATTTGCATAATATATATATATATATTTTTTTTTTTTTTCAACTTTTTTTTTTACTTTTTCTCTTGCCCTTGTGGTCCACTAAGGAGCTTAAAAATCATAGTAAAACGTCAACATTTTGAACCATAATTTTTTTTTTTTTACATTACATTAACATTAACAATCTAAATGGAACAAATAAAGGCTACAAAGAATCAATGACAATGTGAGCAAATAATGGTGAATATTTATTTATTTATTTTTTCTAACTAATAAGATTTCCCTCCACACACAGACTGTGCCTGCCTGCTCACAGAAAGAGTGGGTCCTCGTCATGTTGGTCAAGGCTCTCTATGGCAGGTTTAGCAACTGTGGGAGCTGACTCCAGAGTGATCATCCTGTGCCGTGAATCCCTGCACATGCGCGCGGTTCATTTGTAGTCTGGAACCTGAGGGTAAACATGCTGTGGCTCTGACTGCAGCGCTGAGAGGGACTCCTGCGGAAGCGGGAGAACGGGGTAGGGACGGGGGAGGTGCCCCACAGCAGACACCAGAAAAGTCGCTAGATTTGTCACTAGTTGCTTTTTTGAAAAAGAGTCGCTGGAGATGTCTGAAAAGTCGCTAAATATAGCGACAAAGTCGCTGAGTTGGCAACACTGTGTGCATGCGCAGAAAAAGATAGCTAACCGAAAGAGCACGTAGGACGGCCTTACGTAAACATATCACCAGAATGATTGACAGTTGGGAGGACCACTATTTTAGATGATCCACCCTGGAATAAATATAATCCCCTATACCTTTGAATGTAACATTTTTAAAACAGAATAACCAGCCATTTAATGATAGTTTCTCTTTTTATCCTGAAATGGAAAAACCAAAGAAAGAACCATACACAGATTTGAATACATGTTAAATTGCTATTATTATAAAACAACTAAATCATAACTCACTTCCTTCCTTTTCATAATGATTAATTACTTTTATATTCTTTATAAAATAAAATGTTAGTAAAACACATGAAGTTCATCGCTGTTATACAAAAAAATATAAAATATAGAGAATTTATTATTTTTAAGGTTCACACCTGAACTTTCAGATCATGTTAACAAGGAAGAACTGTTAAATTCACTTCCATTCAGTTTATTTATATAGTGTAAATTCACAACACACGTCATCTCAACACACTTTACAGAGAATATTCAACCAGATCATACAGCCACATTGGTTCAAAATTTTCTATCTAAAGAAAACCAGCTGTTCAACTGTACCTTGCAGCCTTCGCAGGTTATACAGCGGTAGTGGTATCCAGTGGCCTTGTCCCCGCACACCACGCATGGCTCATCCTTCTCTAGGTAGCTGGGGATGTACCCTGGAACAGAGACACTAAGAGCTATAGGAGCGGAGGAGGTTATAGAGTGAGATGGGATGGGACGAGAGTTGAGGCGACAAAAGAAGTTCCAACAAGGGAAGAACCAACAGTGGTGAAGATTTGTGAGGTAAGCAGATAATGGTGAAATTGAGGATGAGGAGGGGAGAAGGAAAGGGAAAAGGAAAGGGGCTGAGCGTTATCACAGGGGCCTCTGTGAAGCACCTGTACACATGGCCCCAGCAGACTAATGTAGGATATATAAGAAAGGCTTTTTTTTCTGCAGAGGGCCGTCGTCATGCAAGTTTAGGAATTTTAGACTTTAAGGAACTGAAGTGAAATAAATCTTTTTATCCCAACTTTTTTTTGCATTTCCTCTCCTTTGATTCCCCCAGGCTTATATTTATATGAACTAAATTGTTAAGTTTCTTTAGATTTCAAGCCTCTGAAGATATTGTCCATGGAGGACTCAAATGTCAATTTGCATAAAGTGAGACACTGAAATCCAAATATGCCACCACCAAGCCCAGTGAAGACACAAGACTGGACAACCTTAAATGACCGAGGAGTGTAAACAGTCAGCAGAAGAAAACTTTTCTTCTAAAACTGCATTTGTTTAATTTAGAATACAGCTTTGATTAGAGAGTGACTTTTTTAAAGCACAATATCAATTATTTTAAAATCAGTCAAACTAATCCCTGACATGTTTCTGATTCTATTTTTTTCTCTTCCTCTGTTTCAAGATAGAAATGACACAATGATAATGAATGTTCCAGTCTTAATTTAAACAAACAAAACAAAGCATTTATTCACAAATCAAACAAAACAATAACAATGGGAAATTATTAAAAAATGGAGAAAGCTGCAATGCTTTACTTAATCTAAACGTGAAGGCTGCTGAATACATTCATGAATCAGCCAATGCATGCATCTATCAGTCATACCGATCCAAGAAAAAAACTATAATATCATACAGAAATATCAGCTGTATCCGCCTGTCTCTAGTTTTGATATTAAATCTCTAAAGTAAGAAAGAAATCATTCCAAGAAGAAACATTACACCGAATTAAAATGATCTGCTAGATGTGTTGTTATTTGAAGCTGATATAAATAACGTAAAAACATGAGGCTTTGTTACAGCTTATCAGTCAATAGTAGCATGAATTATTCTCTAGTCTTTCATTGATGACTGTTTTTTGATTACATGTGTCAGAGATATTGTTTTCATTGAAGTCATGTAGAAGTCATATTTAAATTTCCAATCATTCAGGCTTTAACATGTATATAAATGTACTCTTTATTAGACCATATTATCCCAAAAGTTAGAAAATTTCTATTTAAAAAAAAATCCTGTCTTAATATCTGTGGGGGTTTTTTTCTTCTGTTATCTTATTCAGACCAGTTAGTTATACGTCAACTTGTACACCTAAATTCGGCCAATCATATATCAACAGTCATCTGTCAATCAAATTTTTTCGGTCATAGCATCTTGAGTCATATGTAGCAGCTAATATACGCAAAGGGTGAAATAAGAAATAGGAATCATTTACTTTCCCATTGAGATCCGTCCCAGTGTTCACGGGGATGGACATCTGTGTCTTCAGCAGGTGTAGAGCTAACAGAACTGGCAGCGTTGCGAGGCAAGGGCTCAAACATGTACGGCTGTAAGCCTTCTACACCAAACCAAGCTTCTGCCGCCCTGGCGTCCTCTTCCACAACATCTTCGTCCCCGCTTTCCTCCTCTAAATAAAAAATGGATGACGTGTCGTTTCTAAGTCACCAATTTAGTGCTACTTGGTCCCAATTTAATTTCGCACTGGGAACCTACAGTACTAGCACTAAGTTGTGAACTGGTTAGCAAGATGCTTCAGAGACACCGGCCACAACCAAACGTGCTTGAGAACCTTTCGCCACATCAATCCCGCCCCCTTGATAATCAACTAATCACATTCACTTAATTCACTCGGGAGAATTCTGAGCTCCAACCTTTGGAAGCCGCTTCCCTATGACTTTAAAAAGAAAAAGTTGGATCATTTGCAAACTATCTTGAAACTTTGGGCCGTAAGTTTTTAAATTAAAGAAAAAGTTCGGTCATATTCAGAATACAAACTTCTGAAAGCACTTTAAGTATGAGATTATTACATACTTTTCAATAAATGCTAAGTGTTTTTAATTAAGAGTAATTTCATTTGAATGTGCTTTACTGGAGACATCCATGTTTGTCAAAGAACAGTACTGCCACCTACCAGTTTGTGCGGTACCGGCTGTTAAACAAGGCCCAGTGCTGTATCTGGTGTTTGTCACAATGGGCTATTATCCATCATGGTGACAACTAGTGCACTGTGCGAAGCATAGCAGAGAGTAATGGATTAAAGACCTGTTTTTTCTCTGGCCAAAAGTTCAATGGCAGATCCTCCCTCTTCAAGATGATCTAATGACCCATCCGCGGAGGATCATGAATCGGAAAAGTCAAATAACAATTTTTTTTCTCACTTTAACCCGATGTATTACAACATCATCAACATCATTAACTGCAGCTCTTGTGAAATTCAATGGTAAAGTCCTCTCGAAATCTAGAATAATTGTTGATTTCAGATGTGTCTAGTGGTTCCAATTGATTTTGCTTGTAAAACGGCGAGAATGGCGCTCGGCTTAACGCACCGTGACAACACTGCCGGACGATGTCAGGAAAATTTGGTTTTTATTTTTTTAACGATTAAAGCTAAATGTATTAAATCGCTGCCAACTATTAGTTTTCGGTATACTGTATACAATGACTCACTGGTCATTCCTTGCTGACCAGACTTTTCCTTTAAACCAAGGATTTCATGTTATGAATCTACTTTAAATCTATTCAAAGTCCATTAGTAGAATCTCAGGTTTAGTTCAGTTTTCCACCCAAGGAAACATTTTGTAACAAATTTGGGTTTTCAATAGAAAATTCAACTATTGCTTTCATAAATTCATATTCACTAAAGTCTATTAACATCAAATCCAGAATGAAAGCATTCTCGTAGCTTATAGTTAGCAGTCTATAAATAAATAGGGAGCTGAGCACCCAATGAGAGACGCCATGTTGTGTCGCCATTTTTGATCAAGGGCAGCGGACCAAGGTTATAGCCATCTTCAGTATCGGTCAATGTTTAAAAACTACATGGGAAATAGTTTCTAATTTTCCTTTATAAAATGGACAAGGAGGATTTTGTTCTGCTTACAAAAAAGTAATTAGGCAACTTTTATTTAAGGAATAATTTTGCTTTGGTTATTCTTCTTCTGTTATAGTGATATTTTGCACTGGGAACTGTGCTTGTATTTGCGTAATAAATCTAGACTAATGTACTTTTATTTATTTATTTTTCACTGGGTTTTTTCACTCTTTCCACCTCTGACCAGCACCAAGTGCTGTAGAGGAGGGACCTGGTGCTGTGACTGTCAATCATTTGTGGGGGAATTGGATTTCAGTGGAGTCCAGCTGATCAATAGAGTTTCTCTGTTCTGAACCATTTGGTGGAACAATAATGTTAGACCTTGGTCAACTTACATAAATGTTCTACACTTCAACTCTAAGCCAACAATCCTGTAATGAGTTCTGCTCAGCTCATCCCACCCTAGTGGGTGACTGCTGGCAAAACCTCTGTGGGGAAATAAGCAGAAAATGATGAGGAGAGGATTAAAATTTTAATGCAAAAGAGGAAACCAGTCAGAGGAGCCAGCTGTTGTCCGGCATCATACTGATCACCGTCTAAACTTCCATGCATGTCTTCAGCCTGAGCATCTCTGCAGGAGCCTGTTCTGAATACAGCACGTCTTGCTGTTTGGGGTGACAACATTTAAAGGATGAGCGAAGACATTAAAAATCCTTACCAGACATGCTTTTCACAGAGCACTGGCTGTTTTTCCTCTTTCTCTTCGGCACATCAGGCCACCTGATGGAAAAACAACAAAAGAATAATGATGAGTTATAAAAATAATTGAGAACAACTATTTGCACGGTTATACAGCCTCTGATTGAGTAAGATAATTAATATAAAAAGCATTACAGAGCTTAAGTGAACAAATGTGAGATTCAGAGAATCCTATAAGCAGAAAAGTCTAATTTTTGGTCGAACAGTGTCACATTTCGGGCTAAACCACACAAAGGTTAATACTTTAGGAAACACATTGAAAAAAATGTGGGTCCACAGAACTGGGCACAGTACCACTGTAGTACATATAGCGGGCCCGTTGGGGGTGCTATGACACTGCCACAGAATCAAACCTAAAACCCTTGCTTAACACATGAGCAGACAGATCTTGTGAGGTTAGACACATCACCATGGTGACACAGAGACAGGTAGAGCTACAACATCATCCATTCAAAAAGCTGTGCCTCGCCTGAAAACGCCGAAAAATAAAAGAGTGATTTTGAAAATGTTTCCGCTCTTGGACCGGCTTTTGAAAACAATCTTTTCTGTGGACCTGTTTAGATTTACGGGATAAAACCAAAGTCTTAAACTAAAATCCTCCTGCAAAGCCATCTTCATTTCTTTCTCAGTTTAAACATGGAACTAATAGCAACCAGGAATTTCCATCTGGAAGACAGAAAAAGGGCAAAAGATAATAGCATTAGAAGAATAAGAAATTTTACTTCTTTTTACTTCTAGTTGCTTTCATTAAAGACATTTTAAATATAAACACAAAGAAAAGAAAAGTAGATATATATGTTTAACCTGTATATGCAAGGATTTTGCAAAAGAGGAAGAGGAGGTGGAATTAGTGCAACCAGGTCAGTAAAACACACAGAGTCTAAAAGATTCACCTGGAATCAGTATCAACTGGCACCTATAAGTAAATAATTACGCTCTGTTTAGATAACTCAGCAGAGTAAATGTTTTATTCCCAAATCTTGCTAAACATTAAAAGGCTCATATTTAGGGCAGCGGTAATAAATAATTTTGCAGCCGCCAAAGATATAGAGGAATCAGCTTTTATAACGGCTGTTGTGTACATATGGGCTACACGAATGTTAGAGTGCGTTCCATGTGGCTGCAATAAAAACCATTCCTGCCGCTCATGCTTTTGTACACATGCATATGCCAGCTCATCCTTAAACATTCCGTTTCCAGAAAAAGAAATCCAGATGATGAGCTAATCATGGGAAAGAAAAATGTTCTGGCGGTGTGATGGCCGAAGTCCAGCATATAGCAACACCATCTGGGAATCTTCTTTCTAAGAATCCAGCATATCAGGAGATTGTAACGCCTAGCTATCAGATTATTAATCATATCAGCTCCCTGTTTCAGATTGTTTACACATGAGATATTAAAACACTGATGTTTCTCATTAAAGTGGAGTTTGTCGGATAAAGCCAACTAGGAATGGGCCTATCGTATCGGCCTGATATGATTTTGATTTATTGTCTAAGTGATTAATTTGATTTGATAATGTTTAAAACGTCCACAAAAAGAATGAAGTGTAATAATGTTTACTGTTAGTTATTATTCTTTTCCCCCCTGTGGGATTGACAAATTCAATGAATATGATTAAATGTTGTGTCTGTGGGAAATTAAGAGTAGTAGCCATTCAAAATTTCCCCACTTTGAATAACAATTCCCTTTTAAACATCGATATTTGTACTAAAGCATTCTGTCATGATTTGTGGACATTAAGATCTAAATAGAAGCATCATATCCTTGTCAGACCCTGTAATTCAGTGAAAGGGAGGAGATTTTTAAAAATATGCAAGAGGGGGTCACTGCAGCGGCTGGAAGTGGGCTGCCATTCGGCTGGCGTTTGACTGGGAAGGGCCATTTTGAATGGCTGCAACTGTATAAAGAAACTGAGTCGAGCTGAATAAAGTGAGATAAATCAAACTTTTTATATGTTACTGGTGTCCTGAAGAAGCCTGCTTTAAATCTGTAAATATTATTTAAAAGCAGTTTATGTGATTGTATGCATTGTTAAGCAGTAGGCTACTGCCATACAGCTAGCAAAGAAATACTGTAAAGAATCATCTTCACTTTCATGGTTATCTCTATGGTACCAAATAATATTGTGATAAAAGACAATATCATCCAGCCCTAGCTCTAAGGATCTGATCTTTAAAGGTTTGCAAGCTTAACATATGTACAAAGGGAGTAGCATGTGCAAAGCTGACCTTCATACCAGGTGCAAATTATTAGCATTTGAAAAATAAGCAGAAAAGTGGGGACAATCACTAAAAGCTGGATCAATTACATGTGAGCCTTTAAGGCACACATGTAATTGATCATTTTATGGGAGAAGAAGATAGATATGGTAATATTTTTATCATTCGCAAAGTGGTTCATCAAATCTCACTGCATAATGAGTTATTATCAATTTTTTCATAATTGTCAGGTTTTTGTTTTATGACTTATACCGGTTATGTGATCTTTTAATTTAACATTTACTTTCTATGTTTTTAAAGGAGTAATAGCTGTCATTTTACTTAATTGATCATTTTGAACTCTGCATTAAATAGTGCAAATTTGAAACCCTTTGTTACTGTTTTACTCCTTGCGATGGTACACATGAGAACTTGACTTGTGAGTTTGCATGTTCATGTAGATACAATGTTGGCAGTTTGCCATGTTTACAACTGTTTCCTACTTGAAATCTTAAATTCAAACAACTTCTTGTCCTGGAATCAATGGTTTGATCAGTGACCAGCATAGAGTCCTGTGACTAAAAGAAAACATAAAATTAAAGAATTTGATATGAATTATATGGATCTATATAAATATAATTTTAGTTCACACAATACTTTTTGAATTGTAAGTATTTTGGCGGGGTTTTTTTTTTGGTAATACATAAACACATAAGAATGGAGGTGATGGCAAGAGGATATCTGAGTCTGCCGTAATCTTAACCTGGGCCATTTTTAAAATCACACATTTCATTTAATCTCGGGGTATTTTGAGGTCAGTCCATTTATGCTTTCACTGTTTTTTGGGGATTATTAAGAACTGGGTAAATCATATCAATGGACAAACCCTTGCAAAGATAGTCAGCACATGCAGATTTTCCAGGATAAAGATAATTCCTCCCTTAATCTCTTTACTGCATCCTGTCTGGCTCTATGATTCTATGTTTCCTACTTTCTTCAGCCTCCAACAGGAGGGCTTCATTTGCGTAATTTTCAGTCAAACCACACATATGGTAGCTCCCTGCTGGCCATGCATCTTACATTCCCATTTCGCCATCATAAAATCATTGCCTCTAAAGCTGTAGTCCCCAAATCCCCCCATTTCGTTCTGGAGTTTTCCTTCCATGCAGCTGACCTTCAGCCCCATCCCTGTCCTAACATCCAGCAGCTCTCTCCCATTTCTTCTCATTCTCTCGATTGCTGTCAAAGCTGACCCATTGTCAAACCATTTAGTGATCTCATGTTTTGTTTATAATTTGTTGTTTTTTTTCCGCTAGAGCCGCAGTATAAGATTTTATTACAGGGCACACAAACAGTTAGCACTGAGGTATAAAATGTTTAATTCAAGTTTCTAATGTAAGTAAGTGAATTACAGAGGAAAAAATCTTGGATTAAATATTGCCGTCATTCCACATTTATGGAGTGAATTTTGCTCCATAATAAAAAAAAAAAAAAAAGATTATCAACAAATAGAAATCCCTTTGAATCCTTTGATAAACGTCCTAATCAGAAGGTTCAACTTTCAAATGTTCTAATTTTATTTTTAAAAATTCTAAAGATCTTGTATTTTGTAATATATTTTTTTCTATTTCTATTTTTTCATTGAGTTTATGAATTGCATCTTTTTAGAATTGTTTTACCAATGAAAATGTTGTTAAAGACCATGAAGACCAATTGCGATGCATCTTTATTTCTAACTCTAGGGGAAAGCTCGCGCCCAGAAGTATGGAGAATGTGATTTGGAAAACAGTGTTTAAAAAGAAAGCAGTTTGTAAACAATAATCTATAGAGGAATTTGAATAATAAAAAATAAATCTTTTGAAAAAAAAAAAATACTGGGAACAATTAAGTTAAATAAGAGGAATAATAAGATAAAACTAATGTATGAAGTTTTTCAAAGTTTTGGATTTATGGATAGTTTTTTTTTTTTTTTTTTTCTTTTTTTTTCTTTTCCAATTTCAATATGCCAAATGTGTTCTCCGCTTTTAACATCAAAGATTCACTCCATACAAATTATGGAGGAAATTAAGAGATCTGGAATGACAGCAGCTGATGGGTAAACAGTTTTTCTAGGAGGGCTTGCAGTGCGCTCTGGAAGCTGAGGTCCCAGCAAGGATACGAAAGGAAGCAGATTTCATTGAACAGCTCTTTCACATAACTAAAAAAACATTTCTAACACTATAAAGTTCTGCAACCACTTTTTTAGCAACATGTTTGCTCTAACTGACTACTAGGAAGGATTGTAATAATCAGGTTTTTCTAGAAATCACTTTCATTTGATATTTTGTGAATATCTCAGGTAGAATTAAACCATATATGTTTTTTTTTATAATGAGAGAATAGTAATAAAATTAACTTTTAAAGTAGAATATAATAAAAAGCGGATATGAAAACGTATAAAAATACTCAAATGTAGAGTAGAAGATGAAAGGTAAACCCTTAGTGGTTCAGAAGGAGCAAATATCCATTACATCATCACATCCCTGTACCTCCTACAGACCCAAACAAGACGGAAAGTAAAGCCCCAGCTCATTACGAAGTCTCTCCATCCTGACGCTAAAGAACTGTTTGTTCTCTGTATCTACGAAATATTGACGTCATGTTCATTAGAGGCTTCATTCACCAACTAACTAGATTTGATCATTCTCAAATTGAATTTGATGACCACTTCCATGAGAACAGAAACTAACATTAAACATTATTTGAAACTGTATGAAGGTAAAGAAGAACACTGATAAGTTTTCATTGCAAACCTGTTAATGCAGTATGGTTGCAGGATATGCATGTTGTTCGCTGTGCAGTAAGATCAGAAGCAAAGAATCAAATCTCAGCTTTCAGCTCTTGCGGCGTCCTTCAGAATCGGTGTGAGATTCCCATCCAGTCTTTCACAGTAAAACAAGCTGTTCACTTAAAATCCCCAGCTGACTAGGCTTAAATTGATCCTAGAGAAGTTCTGTAGAGTTGACCTTAAGTCGCCGCGATGGGCTGAAACATCTGTGGTGACGGTGGCGTCCTTTCTCAGACTAACTGCTGAACTGATCCAGCGCTCTGTTTATTTCCCTCCCTCCTTTTCAGGCTGCTCTGGTCCAGCCTCTCTCTGTGATCCAGTCAGCCCTCCCCTCTCTGTCTGCAGTGCTTTGCTCTGTGTCATCATAACAATGTTGTACACAGCGTACCTAATCCAAACAGTCTCATGCTGTCTTATTTTATTTCAGACTTTTTATTAACACAAGAAATAGAGCATAATTAAAAGCTAAAGCGCCTTTACTGTGATGAAGCTAAATAAAATCCATAGCAACATATTCCCTAAAAATGCAACCTTATTAATAAATTCAAGGAGTGAGTTTAGCTCCATTGTTGTTGCAAACAAAGAACATTTCTAAATGGAAATTTGAAAAAAAAAAAAAAAAAAACAATTGTAAAATGAAATTTAAAAGAAAAAGGCAATTCAGGAAAGAAACTTCATAAACATTTTATTAATAATACGAAAAGGGTTTGAAAGTAACTATGCTGCTCTCACAGATTTTGTTTTTCAAATTATGATTTCAAATATTTTTTTAACTCTTTCTTTTTTTTGCTAATTATTTTTAATTGATGTTTTTCAAATTGAGATAGAATCATTTCAATTCTTTTCCATTTGTGTTCTCCTGATCACATTCTCGTCACTTTTAGAGATGGAATGCGCTTTTATTGGTATGCATGGAGATTTGCAAACAACATTGCATTGGTAAATGGAGAGCATTAGAACTGGGTTTCAAGTGAAGAGAACTTTATCTGTGCAACACAATTTAGAAAAAATGAAATTGACTCAAAGTGAAAAGAAACAAAAATAGAAAGAAATAGAAATAGAACATTAAAAAATAAATAAATATAAAATAGATAACATTAGAAAATACACCAAAAGTTTCTCTCAAAAAACCTTTTTTTGATTAAGAAGTTTTTCAAAGTTTAATTTCTGATTTGCATTTCTTTTAAATGTCTATTTACAAAACATACTCTTTGTCATAACATTTATATATCATGTATGTTTTTTTTTTATATATAAATCCATCTGATTTGTAAAAGTTGGGACCAGCAAAACAAAAGCTATGTTTTCATCTCTGCTTGTTAAGTAAGATCCAGAGCTTGTTCATGTTCAAATACAGTAAAATATATACAGTAAGTTCATGGTTGTATTTAGACCAAATGTGAATACGCCTATGAGCTATAAAAATAATAAGGCACTAAAAATATCCATTGATGTAAATAAAAAGAAAAGGAGTGGATCAAACCGCTGTTGTTGTTGTTTAGGCTAAATCTGGATGGGAACTATTTTGGTGGATAACCTTGAGCTAAATAAAGACACAGATGACCTGAACTAGCCACAGGAAAAGATTTCCATAGATCTCCAGCCTCATCTTTGGCATTCCCTCTCTTATCAACAGCTTAGACGTCTGTCACCTTGTTCATTCAGTTCTCTCACTCTTCCTTTCCTAGTATTTAGCTCTCCTTTCATCCAAACTAAAAACAGAATTTTGCCCCCCCCCCTCAAAAAAGTAACTTAAGCTTTAATGTGAACTCTGTTACATAACAGCCTGTTGATGCAGTCTCTGCAGCGCGGCTGACTGAAGTCCTACGAGGACACAGAGATAGAGCTGCATGCCCTAATAATTAAATTAGACCGCTCTTTCATCTTTCTTGGCTGCAAGTGTGAAAAGTTATTTTGATGTGCCGAACTGCAGCTGGATTCATATTTGTACAGCTCAGTGATCAGTAGTAGGGGTTATCTGAGGCATAGTGACAACCAAACAAGGTTAAACACATAGAGATGCTGTTTTGAGGCACCTTTACAACAAGGATGAACATTTTTTTGATGTTCAGCTCTAGCATGAAGTGTTTTCCAGAAAATGCTTATAATTCTCTTCTTTTGGAAATCATAAAAACCTTCTCTCTTAAAGTAGTCTGCTATAGATCTGTAAGTTCAAATTGTGTAAACAATGTAGCGATGACATTGTTTACATAATTTTCTAATAAAAAAAACAACTCAGAAATAAAATCAGGCAATGAGCTTTACCCGCATTTGATGGGAAACAAGGACACCAGAGCAGAGAGAGTAAGTACTCATCGAGCTGAATGGCAGAAAGAGAAATCCTTGATGTGCAGTACAATGAAAAAGCATTTTTTTTTTTTTATTGAGGATCAGGTGTCATTTAATTTGTAAAAAAAAAATGATTCTTGGACGGTGTCCTTGTAGTCTGTTCTCATGTTGTTTTAATTCACTGTCATCTGCTGTTGTGCCCTCCTTCCGCCTCTTGGTTCTGCTGAAGCCCCCTTTCCTTTTACTGACAATGTCACCCTTTTGTCTAGCCTCGACTAAGCAAGGACCGTTTTAGCAACACCTCAAGGTAAATTCCAGAGCAAGAGTGACAAATTGGACACAAAGCTACCCCAAATAACTGAAAATCACCACTGAAACGGCTGTTTAAGACAAACCACGCTAGATTATTGGCAGCTTTAATGTTGTATACCCAAAAATTAGTTATCATGCCTGGCAGCTGAGAAGCACACTCAGTAGCTGGTCTTATGAGTCATGTTACGCACTAACCCCTGCTGTCATGTGTGTTCATGTTTAATGTTAAAAAGCCTTTGTGGCTGTGACAAGCCTGTGAGTGTCATTGTTTCAGTAGCATAAATTAATGCATTGTGGGTAGGGGTGGGGGAAGGCTGCCGTAATAAATTGGGAATAGTTGGAAATATATTTTCTCTACTACCAACACACAAACACATAAACCCACGTTGTTTGGTCATAATCAAATAGCTGTCTCCTTCAAAGACAGCTTTGGTTCTTACATGAGCTCTGCTTTTAAAATCAAATTACAAGCTGTACGAAAGCCCTGACTTCCCAAAAATAAGATTCAAAACTGCAATGGATTGAAATGAGCCTACATTAGCAGGCTTGTATGGAAACAAAATGAGGGTGAGAATTTCTGGAGTTTATTTACAATTTCTTTTTTTAATAATATTTAAAGGTCCAAGCTAGAACCCTTTTTTTTTTATAAAATTGATTAACTGTTCCAAAAGAATACATCTACAGAAAGTCTAAAGTAGAGCAACAATGAAAATATAAGAATCTGAAGCAATAGGACTAGAAGGCTGAGTTCATGTTAGATGGAGGTCAGGCGTTGCCAATTTCTAACACTAAATAGCTAAACCCATTTTCATGCACCACGCCACACAGCGCATATTTCCCCATTAAATACACCTTCAACATGGCTTATCGTAGTCCGAGTAACTGATTCACTGACTGAGTTAACCAATCCAACACCATTCTATAATTGTGATTAAATCTAACCAACCATAGAAGGCGGCACACAATATAAAGCAATCAGAAGCAATGTAATAATAAGCAATAATTTTGCAAAATTATTTGCAAATGTGTGAGGAGATTTGGTGTCTGTATAAGAACCTACAAATGTGTGCTAAGATTTGCAAATGTTTACTAAGCTCTATAAATGTGTAGGTCAGTTTGTAAACAGACAGAGACACTTAAGTCTGAAATATTTTTGCTTTAACTCCCAGAAACACTATTACTACTACTCTATTTACACACATGATTTTTCCAACACTTCTGCCGTGTGAGATCTGCAATTGCCTAAAGGATTTGTATGTGTACTATCTGAATTTGCGAATTTGAGAGCAGGCTTACAGGCTTAAAAACATATTCATAAAAGCATCAATCCTATATTAGTCCACTTCAATTCTAGTATGTTGTTTTAACGAATGAAATGCTGTATTTTTGTTATCACTGTTTGGTTCATATAGTAATTTGAAAAAATGTCAAGGTAGGATACTATACTTGATGGTATCACTGCTGCCACCCTCTGGTTTAGAGGAGAAATATTAATTGAAGCGAGTGAATTACATCCCTGTGAGAACAACAAATCACTGGGCAAGGAGGGGCAACAGGGGTGGCCAATAATTGGCTAGGGGCATGCATGGTCCCCCCGACCCCGATTTACTGTAGATCCACCCTTGCACCCACTTCTAAGCTCATTTATGTTTTAATTCTCTGGAACCATACATTTATTTAAACAGCACCATTCTATCAATATGTGCTTATTATGAGCTTTATTAGCAAGAGCCACATGAAAATCCCCTCCATCTTTGGTAATTTATTTGTTGTGATCAGTATAGCTGGACCCAGAACTGGTTTGGATGCCTATTAGTTTGGGACTTTTTTTTCTGGAACCAATAGAACCGATAGTTTTGTAAACTTTCTGTCCAAATTCTTAGTTCATTTTAAATTTTTAGTTAATTAACATTAGTATTACTGTAGGAAGCCACAGTGCAGTGAGGGCAATTTGAATGGAGGTGAGGAAATCAGTCTAAGGGTTAGGGTTCATTTTTAAAGCAGGATCCAACAAAAGCCACAGTTTTAAGAGGTAAAATTACAGATAAAACAAAACTAGCTCCTCTTTGTAGACAAATATGTCAGACACGGTAATTACAAATGTTAAAGAAGGTAGACCTAGGATAGGGTAAATGTAACAGAATTAAATGAAGTTACACTAAAATGTTAACATTTGCTTAACATAAATGTAGCACCGTTAATGCCAGATTTATTGTTTATCTACTAAAAAAAGTTGATTTGGGGTTTTGGGATTTGGAAGGGGAAACATTGCTACAAAAAGTGGCTAACACCAGTTTTTGGGTGAAGATTTTACAATCAATGGAAAAACATGTTCTTGAAATAAGAATTATTTTAAACCAAAAGTGATAATTGATGTTACTTTGGGTGTAGAGGCTGTTTATAATCAGCCTCTCTATTTTTTTTCCATTTGACTCCTATCCTTATGTTCACTAGCAAACATTGCTTTCTGCCACTACATACCATTAGGTATAAGTCATGGTGGGAGAAAAAGATATTCTAATTGCTTGCTTGTGTAATTAAAGTAAATTGCAAACCAATTTGAATATTTAAGATGTAATGGGTACAAGGCTAATGATGCTTTTAAAGCATCCACAGACTCTTCTCAGGGTTTTGTAATTATAGCTTTTGTCCGTCACATTTACTCCC